CCCCAAAACCCCAAAACCCCATCACTAAGAAATAGCATGAATGAGGAATCTTAGTATAATTAATCAAAAGTTAAAATTCAAAATGGAAGCTAGAAATGATGATATGCTTTATGCAGTAACTCAGCAATCAGGAAATGGAGTGCATGGACTATTAGAGTCTGTATTTGGCTTCTTGCATCGTAGAACTGATTTTTTCTACTAGATGGAGCCAAATGATAAAATGGGTTTCCCACCGGGTGTTGCTGAAAGTATGGTAAGATCATATCAATGTACAAATCCTTAGAAATTAATAGATTTCTAGATTATTCCAATATTTCCATTCTTTCAAGTCAATATTCATATATTAATTATAAATGTATAGGTCTACTAATACTTTAAGAAGTATCAAGATCAGCATTTCAAGAGATTCCCAGAAAAGCAAGACTTGAAAGAAAGATGGGACAAATACAATCAAGAACAATAAAGATTGGCTGAAGAACATAAAAAGCAATAAGAGGCTAAAAAACTTTAATAAAATGAGCAAGCTGAGAGCGCAAAGCAGAATGATAGTGAATAAAATCAATAATAGGAGGAAGTAAAGAAGCAAGTATAATAAATCTAAGGAGGCTAAGATAGTTAAAAAGCAGAAAGCAAGCCAGTTTAACAGCAATAGCAATAATAACAGTAGATAAAATAAGCAGAACCAAAGAAAGAGATTGATCCTAAAATGAGCAGAATCAGCACATACAATGGCGATGTTACTGATAAATACTCATGGTCTTAAGGTATTACAGAAGTGACAATGCAGATTGCTATTCCATAGGGTACTAAACCTAGAGATTTGGATATAAAGATTAAGGCTAAGCATTTATCAGTAGCTCTCAAGGGTTAACCACCCATAGTTGAGGGAGAACTTTGCGAAAAAGTAAAGGTTGATGATAGTTTCTGGGGTATTGAAGATGGAAAATTCTTGAACATTAACTTTGAAAAGGCTTATGAAGCTATCTGGAAATCTATAATAGTAGGAGATAAGGAAATAGATCCAAAGACTGTTGATAACAGCAAAAGAATAGAGGAATTCGACTTAGAAACTCAAGGTCACTTGTAAAAAGTTTTGTATGAGTAGGAGAGGAAAAAGATGGGTCTTTTAACAACAGAAGAGGAAGAGCAGAGAAAGTTAATGGAAAAGGTATTAGATTCTGATAATTCGCCATTTAAAGGTCTTCCCTATGATCCTAAAAAATATGGATAAAATTCAGGTAATAATGGACCCTCACCTCCCTTTAATATGTGATATCATTTATTTTTTAATTAAATTTGCTCAGACCACAATTATTGTGCAGCAGGGGTTTTGGGGTTTTGGGGAGATCGGAA